AATAAATAATTAAGAATTACAATGAATATTTAATGAAGTACTTCAAAGAAGAAAGTATTTAAACTAACTACAATATTCAAAAGAATTACTTATTCAATTATGAAGTAAAAAGGTTTATTGTAACATTAACTGATTATATAATCATAGTAATCAGCAATGAAATCTTAATAATAACAATAATAGAAGGCACATATCAACAATGGTTTTGCAAGAAAACAAAGAGGGTATACTCAATCTAAAGGGGGAAAAAAAGGGACATCTTTTAAAAAACCACTACTAAGAAACATTGTAGGATAAAATGAATCCATGTAAGTTTATGTGATACGAATTATTAAACTAGTCTGGTTTATGTAAGAACTGAATAAAGACAAACTTAAATGAAGTAATTAACTATATAGAATATTCTTAGACTTTCAAGAGTATATGGAAGTATTCATTTCCTACTATTGAAATTCAGGATTGCAATTTCATTATTCTTTGTTCCTTATATACATCATTATGATATATAATAATATGTTTTTGAATTGGGTTTAACAGCGTTGTTCAAGATACGGGTTTTGTATTATTTGGAACTCGTCAGCTAGACGTACATGTTAGCAGTGAAACTCTATACCTAATAATTCAAACGACAACGTTTTATCCACTATAGTCAATACAGTAGAAAATCTAACACTATTTCTGGTAAATATGATAGATGCGCTAGTGGAGAAGATGTAGTGGCTGGCCCTATATCGAGCCCACATAACTCTAACAAACAGGCTAATTTATTCATTCTTCTTGAGTCAAATTTTGATCTTGTTAATTATTAGCTTAACCACCTTGACTGTTTTTGTATGAGCGTGTGTGTGTGTATTTCTTATCTTACTCATCACAGGTCTGTAACATATTTTTATCTGACTATAAGTATCGATTCACGCTTGATTAAATCGAGTTGGTTGACTTACTTTCTCCATCGCGCTTTGTTTTGTTTTCCTACGCTTTCCGATCATTGGTTGTATATAATATAGGTATTTTAAATACATTCTCGTATTTGACTTATTTGACTCGGTTATTCACTAATGTGAGTTAATTTGATAGTTGTGTACGAGGATAGCTGGGGTGTATATTTCGATAGCAATCAGAAACGATCCAATCAGAGCCAGATATTCTAGGGCCACGTAAATGAAACTAATAACAGTAACAATTCCATGCAGTATGACGCGTCTGAGAATATCATAATGATCAAAATAATCCAATTATTTAAAATCTTTACTGTGAAACAGACATGAAATTTCACACGAACGTGTGAATGTAGCTACTAGATAAGTGATCAAGGGACTTTGTGAAACAGTTCCAGTAGGAAAGCATGACTGGTGAAACTTAATCCGTGCCAGGTGTAAGATAATTATCCAGCGTAACCAATGGATGAAGGTTGTGCAGTATCGTAAATTGAGTGAACCTAGACATTAATACCGTTGAGTGACAACTCAGTGGTCTAAAGGTTGAGCATCCGAATGCGTGACCAGATGTCTTGGGTTCGACTCCTGAGTGAGGAGTTAGGGTGTGCTTACTGTTCAGGAGCCTCATACTAGGATGAAACGCTTATCCAACGCTTCTAGGTTTTCATGGTAGTCTAGCTAATGTTCATTCGGGATTTCAACTGTGAACAGAGTTTATACCAAAATTCTTCAAAGGTGTCATATGTTAAAACCACATCAACAAAGAAGTGTCAGGTGCAGCATAAAACCTGTTTTACACTGGTTACATTTCAACCGATTCTCATTAAGTGGGATCTAACTGAATAATAAACTTTAGTTACCTAAAAAAGAATATTATAAAATTAACTTTGTAAAGTATAAATAATAAATTGAATTTGTCCTTTTAACCTTTAATCTTAATCCATATGCACCATAAGCAAAGATGGATAGTGGTTATCAATGAAATCCAGGATGCGCGTTTCGTCCTATTCGGAACTCATCAGCTGGATGTACCTGCATCTTAGAGTATGCACATATACCAACAAGAGACTGATGAATTGCAGTCTTAAACATCATTCGGACGATTCAAGTAAACAACACCAAATGGAATTCATATGTATCATAGATTTTATGATCATGACTACAGTCTAATTGTGTTATTTTGTAGTGGATTTAGAATTATCTGACTGGAGATTACGATTAGAATTTTTATTATATAATTAATATGGACGTGAATTACTATAATTTTATTTATAATGAATTATCCTTGTATTATAATCTTCCAATTGGCTAACTAACCGTTGTTAGATGTTTTATATAATCTAAAATTAGTGTTAGTTACCTATTAACCTATGTGATAGTTTTTCTTGACTGATGACATATATATGTATTTTCCTATTCATGTTATTGTAAGTGATAAGTCTTGCCGATTGAACGCTATACTCGGTTCCTAAGTTATTCTTGTAACCCCCAAGCTGGAACTACACAGCGAACTGAACACGAGAGAAAAGATGCAAAATATGCGAGAAGCGCTTTACTCCAAAGGTTCGTTTTAGTACAGAAAATATTAGGGTATTTATAGTATTTTAGATGCCCTTGGGTTTCCCGAAAATTTTGGAATGCTACCAAACATAGTAACAGTATAGTAATGAGCTAATCAGAAACTCTACATGTGACTTTTCACTTTCGTAATGTTTCTTGCTAATTTATATTGAACGCTGATTGAATAAAATGCTTCTTAGTGTTTTCTGAGCTTTTCTTATCTTTTGCGAGAAGTTTTCAGGATCACCCCAACAGTAAGGTCAAATATTCCATCTATTTTACCACATGAATATTGAATTAGAGGTTACTGAGTGACTAGTCGAGAGAAAGTCATTTATTTTATAAAGAAAATCAATTAAATGATCAATAAATAGACATACTAGTTATCACCTCCTGTAATCACGAAGGATCGAGTCTAAGAATATGCAATAATTTATGTATCTTTTTTTGTTATTTAACATTACACCTAATCTAAATTCAGAATCGAGCTCGATTCGTTCCTTCTTTATTTACCAAATCTCAGAATGGAAATTTTCACTATATTGAAAAGTTCTGAGGAAACATTTGCGTTAAAGATTCTCAACAAGTATCTGAAGTATAGCTCAAAGCTCAATGAAGCGAAGACAAATATTCTGTAATTATCAGTTTAGGTGTTGTGGAGATTGTTAAGTTTTTGATTGAAATCATGAGTCAATTGAAGCTAGACCACCATGGAAAACCTGGAAGCACTGGACAGACGTTTCGTCCTAGTATGTGACTCCTCAGCAGTGCACATCCACGACCTCGCACCCCGCGAGATTCGAACCCAAGACCTATCAGTCTCGTGCCAGGCGCTTAACAAACTAATCTGTAATTGTTAGATTATAATATATATATATATATATATATGTATTCACTCAAAATACTATATAAATTGTAAGCACATTAATTGTCAATGTCAAGTTAGTTTGACATACGGTTGCAGTGAATTGTTGATCATTTCTTATGGGTATCTACAATTCCATATAGAATTGAATATAAGATGAATTGACTTTTTGATGTGTAATATATTTATAGACCACACAAGGTTTGTTTATTTTTTCTTTGATATTTCAAGTTGTAAATGATATATGTCATAAATTAACCTCATTTAGTGCATTAATGAAACCAAAGGAGCATGAGACAGTTTTATTTAACTATGAGATCACTCATCAATGCCTATGATTTGTAAACATATACATCATTAAAGAAGGAACGAATCGAGTGAAGAATTTTCTTTTCAATTAGTTTTTTAATTATGACTCTACACTAATAAATATCTATATGATTTACAATAATGAAATAATACTCATCGAATAGATACGTTACGTAATAATTACGTAATGACATTTAAATCAACATTGAGTAATTGGAAGAATGAAGATTAATTATAATCACAGTAACTATTCAAAAATCAAGTAGTTTTCACGTTGCATCTATATATATATTCACTCTTTATCTTTCTGTTGGTGATTGACTGAATCATGAACACGTCAACATCTGAGGGGAAGCATGGGATACAGTGGGCAGCTAGGTTGTGCCTGGACGACCTAGACTTTGTAGATGATCTGGCTCTTCTATTGCACACGCGACAACAAATACAGAAGAAGATGACCAGTGGAGTAGCAGCCTCTGCAGTAGTAGATGTCAACATACACAAAGGGAAAAGCAAGATTCTCTGATACAACACAACACGCACTAATCGAATCAAACTTGATGAAGAAGATTTAGAAGATATAAAGTCCTAAACATATCTGGACACTATCATTGATGAACACGGTGGATCTGATGCACATAGGAAGGCGCGGATCGGAAAAGCAAGAGTAGCATATCTAAAATTGAAGTACATCTGCAACTCAAAATAACCGTCCGTCAACCAACACCAAAGTCAGAATTTTCAATACAATTGTTAGCACAGTTCTACTGTATGTGGCACAAATTTGGAAAACTACGAAAGCTATCATCGAGAAGATACAAGTGTTTATTAGCGGTTTTCTGCGCAAGATACTTCGAATTCGTTGACCAGACTCTATTGGACACTGACAGCTTACTGTAGGAGAGAACAATCCAAATTCCAGAGGAGGAAGAGATCAGGAAGAAGCGCACATTGAGGAAATCACCGAACTGCGTCACAAGGCAAGATCGTACTTGGAATTCTCAAGGCCAAAGGAGAAGAGTAAGTCGAAAGAACACATTACACCGAGAAATGGAGACAGATATGAGAATTGGATAGAACTAGAAAGGGAGGCTGAGGACAAAATGGGTTAGAGAATGCTGGTTGGTTGCCTATGCTCCATTGGGAGTTGCAGGCGTATGTAAGTAATATATATATTAGTGTACAGCCATGATGGAAATACTAATTGAAAAGAAGTTTTTTTCACTCGATTCATTCCTTCTTTATTTCACAAATGTCATAATGGGAATTTTCACTATATACATAATTTATATTCCATTTTTCAATGATCTACTTATTTTTCTTTATAGATAACCTATTTAAATGGAAGTAAACCAGTAGCCGCACCATGTGAACGTAATGGTATATGGCGTAAATTTATTCATGCACAATATTTAAATTGTGCTACATTTGAACCATTTAGTTATTTACGTTCCGATACAACAAATATAGAAATGTATATTTATTTAGATGAGATGTTAAATCGTGCACAATGTATTGATTGTTTTCATGGTGAAGTCAAATCCCAATTATCTGGTGCATTAATCACAATACATGGTGCTGATACATTACCAAATATTAATGATAAAAGTATTAATTTAAAACCGGGTACATTAACTGAATTACGTTTATCTATTATAGAGAATATACAAAAAATGCCACCTTATGGTAGATGTTCTATCAATCATCCAATACAATTAAATTTATATGACATGTTATATAATTATTCAGAATATGCATGTCGTGAATTAACTATACAAAATGATATAATACATTATTGTAATTGTTATTCCATTGAATATCCATATAATGAAGATACTAATTATAAACCATGTACTAATTTATTACAATTTATCAATATATCAAATTGTAATCGTAATGATTTATTGAAAATCAATAATGATAACGCTACTAATAATAGTAATACTAATAGTAATATAAGTAGTATATGTATTAATGAATTAAATAAATTTATAACAAGAATGATGTGTAAACGTACAATTATAGAGAATTATTTACATGGTGAATTACCTAATTGTAAAATACCATGTTCATTTTATTCTTATGAAACTGAACAATCAATATCAACATGGCCAACTAAAAGTTGGCAATTAACATGGTTAAATTCATCATATAATAAAAAATTAGGTTTATTTAATAATACAGAATTTATATTATATCATAAAGCAATTGAATTATTAGATTTAGGTAATGAATTAGACGCCATTAATATATTAGATAAATTAAATGTGCTAGAACGTAAATTATTAGCGATATTAATTAATCGACCTAATTTTGATGTACGTAAAGTTGAAGAAAAAGAAGTGATCTCATTGACAAATTTATTATCACAAACTGGTGGTTTATTTTCTATATGGATTGGTTTATCTATTATATCATTAGGTGAATTAGTTGAAATGTTTATACGATGTTATATAAGAATAAAACATACTACGACTCTTACTACCACTAATAATAATAATAATAATAATAATAATAATAATAATAGTAATAATAATGGTAGTAATAATACATTACATCATCATCACCATCATCATGATCATCATCAAAATTATGTAATTCATCAAGAACAATGTCTATGTAAGTGTAACCATCTATTATGTAATATATTATTAAATCATTTACATAATAATAATGATAATAATAATAATAATACAAATGAAATAATCAATACAATTAATAAAATGATAATCACTAATAATTCATTATTATCACTGAAATCAAATGATAATAATCAAGAAAAAATCAATATAAATGAACAATTAAATATTGAATAAATTCAATTTTGATCATCTATTGATTACACACACACACACACGCATACACACACACACAAATATACATATATATATACATTCAATTGGTATTCTTAATGAGATTATCATTGATAAACGATCATTGAATGATATTAAAGTGATTTTGTAAAGATCTATCTTAGAACTAATAAGATCAAAGATATGAAGAATTACAATCATGATTTATAATTAATAATTAAGATTATAAATTTGATTTAATATTTTCATTATGAATTCATATTATTGATAATGGTAAAATGAGAGTTAATCAAATGGATTGAATTATGCGCTAAAATTCAAGGTCTATATATCTTGTATCTGATTGGTTCGTTCATAAACTATAGTTACGCCGTATTTTCAATAATATTAATAATAATAATAATAATACTATTATTATTATTATTATTATTATTATTATTATTATGTAATGACAAACTATTTATGTAAAAGACAGCAAAATGTGTTGTAACCATGTAATTTTATGAACAAAAAAAGGTTTATTGTCTTATTTTCATAAGTTTGTCTCGGTGTTTTTTTTCAATATAAAAAATAATATTCATAAATATTTATTTATTTATTTATTATTGAATGAATGATTGTAAATAAAGATTAAAGCATACACACAGTATGCACATATGCCAATAAGAGACTGATCAATTGCAGTCTTAAATCTCAATGGGAAGATACAAGCCAAACAAAACCAACTGAATTGAAATTCACCATATTGCACAAGCAAGTGGCTTTCAGGACTCAGTAGCTGAATGGATAACGCGATGACGTTTGAAGCGAATGGTACTGAGTTCGACTCATAGAGTAAACATCAAGTATGAGATGCAGGTACATCCAGCTAACGAATCCCGAATAGGAACAAACGCGCGTCCTGCATTCCACTGCTAACCACTATTCATCATTGCTTACAAATAGCTTGTGAATTAAGGTAATATCGAGGCATATGCACAGTATGCACATATACCATTAACAGACAGATCAATTGCAGTCTTAAATCTCAATGGGAAGATACGAGGCAAACAATACCAAGTGAAAGTTATAGAAGTTTTGAATTAGTTTTCATCTTAAAGATTACGTAACCAATGGTGAGAAACTCATTGTATAAGATTTTTAAACTATAGTCAGGGGAATAGACATTAAGTATTCTATACGTTTCAATGAGGCTTTATTATTATTATTATTATTATTATTATTATTATTATTATTATTATTATTATTATTATTACTGACTTTATTCAATATTATATTTTTGAGATATAAAGTATTTCAACAAGTTTCCTTGTCTTACTTCTTCGTTGATCTTGACGATAAATATTAAGTGTTTGTTAGTTAAAAGTTAACGGTCTAGTCAATTGACATCTAAATAATGTACATTCTTTTCGTTGTATATTGACAGCAATCACAGTATCTCTGATTGGGCTTTTTTTTGTAATTTGTACAACGAAATGTTGTACATTTTTCAGGAATGTACAAAATTATATAACTTGTTGAAATATATAGATGACAGGAACAAATAGCTCACATGCTCAAGGAGGCCGCCATTAAAGGTTGAAATCGATCTATGATAGTCATCATTACATATTTATATGAAGAGTAATTGGAAACATTTGTTAGAGATGAATACATACATAGGTGTGTTTTATATGAATGAAAATGGTAATATCTGTAATATATTGCTTGTTTTTGTTTTATTACAAAAAGATGCTTCAGACAACCTCTAAATAACTGCATATACAAAGAATATTTGAATTCACTAGGTGTTGTTTTACTTGTATCTTCTCATTGTTATTTAGGACTGCATGTTTGAAGCGAACGGTACTGAGTTCGCGTCCCACAGTGAACATCAACTCTGATATGCAGGTAAATCCAGCTGATGAATTCCGAATAGGAACAAATGCGCGTCCTGTATTCCACTACTAACCACTATCCATCTTTGCTCCCACAAAGGTTTTGATTTTTATATTAATTTCTAGACGCATAATACTAAGTTTTCTGCAGATATGAGGGAAATCGGAGCCTGTGGGCTGCAAATATCCTTAATCGGATCTCCTGAGGCCAAGGAAATCGTTTAGAAACAGGTGTATAAGCTACTAGGATTGAGATCATGTTATGATACATTATGAAAACATAATATATTGGCTACATTCAGAATTCTATGTATTTTTTATTCAAACTTAGGTCCTGTCATAGCTACTTGAGGAATTCACTGAGACTACCCACCTAATACTCATTTGTTAAAGGATCTCGCCGAAGTCATATGTAACATCATTCGTTAGTAAAGTTCGCTCAACTCCGATATTTTGTAACCAAGTCCCATTTCTGAACATACTGGTACCTACTGACGAAGAATAGAAATTTAATAAGCACAAAACAACACTTCACAGAATTAATCATCAATTTTCTTACGCTAAAACTATAGTTACTTAGAAAGCAGTGAAAATATTTAAATTTCAGCATGTGTACCTCTGTTTAATCTAAGTTAGACAACTACTGGGAACTAAGAAGCACTGTACAACACTTTTATCCTGGCATAAGAATTTCCAGTAATGCGCATCAAAGACTGAAAAGGAGAAGTGCCTTCAGATCTAGCTGGGTGCGTTTAACGTTTAAACCAGTGAACTGTCATTTTTAATTTCAATCGATTCGCTATATCTACCATTTTCATGCTTGTTAACTACTTCACATCAGATATGAAGGAATTCCACCACTATTGGCTTCTCACAAGAACTCAGCGAATAGACCCAAGATAGTATTCATTAGTGAGCGTACGTTTATTAATCCAACCGATCATATGACGATACTAAAACAATCCGAATGAGTAACATTTAAAACACGCTGAGAGTTGTGAAACAACATTTCTACTTTTACGAATGAAAGGTTAAAAACGAAACTTAATCTCGGTCACTTTTAAAGTTTACCAGCATATAATGAAATATAATGTCATTCATTTGAAAAAAGAAGTGAAATGACATGTATAGCAAAGAATATACAATGTTAACTAGAAGAAAAAGAAGATTATCATGAAAGGAAACATTGTGTAAATACAAAAGTCTATCAACCTTTCTATATTTCCGAGTAGCCAAGAGAAAATTTTCAAATTGTTAAGATAAATAATGTATAGCTCATATATAACGGTCTCCTAATGGGCAATCACGATTGACGTTAGTGATATTATATATAATCTGAAAATAACAATTACAGGATTCATGCCAGTTTACAGGCATGATCAATTTGATATTAATAGTAACATTAAATGTACAGAACAAACATGTGATAGAAGAAAGTTTTAAGTATACTAGTTCAGTAATTGTTGAGGTAGTACATGTATTACAGCATAAAGTGACAGCAAGTAAGTGGTTTTACTTAGGGAATGCACTAACAAAAGTGGCTAAACATTTAAAGTTCCTATAAAATCACTTGTGGAATGAGATACACTTACAGATGCTACAACATTCAATGCAGTTACAGAGTAGCAGTATGCATCGATGCAGCAAACAAATAATGGGAGTGATTTTATCGTACGGATAGATTGTAGCAGGTTATTCCAGAGTCTAGAAAATTTACAGGTAAAATAAATCATATAAAGAGATGATTTAGAATGAGTTTGTTTCACTAGTGACAAGGAATTACAGATGGCATAATGAGAAGTCTCTGCATATTGAATCACGTAATTAGATGTAAACGATAGTTTATGAAGTAGTTTGAAGAAAAAGATAAGATTTAGTTTGAGTCTCCTCTTCCCTAAAGGGTCGAGCCCAAGTTTATTACCTCGAGAATTATAAGTTAAGGTACAATCAGCTCCAAGAATGCGAAGTGTGAATCGTCTCTGTACTGATCCCAGCCTTACTATATCCTTTATGCGCGCACTGCTATGAATAATCGTCCAATATTCTAGAAGAGGTCGAACACAAACTTTGTTCATTTAAATAAGCGACACATTGTTATAAAGGTTTCGAGTTATGTAACCTATTAGACGTTGAGACTTAGAGGTCAGTTTCAATATCTGTTCTGTAAATGACAAGTCTTGGGAGTACCTAAGTCCTAAGTCTACTACTGTATGTAACCGAGACAATAATTCACCATTTATGGTAATGCCTAGGTTGAGTGATGTATCGCCGAAGCATATCCATGCACATTTAGCCGTATTAAGCTCCAGTTGCCATTTCAAGCACCACTGTACTACCTTGTTAAGCTCCATGCTGATGTGATTTTGCATATTGTTCAGCTCATGTGGACAAAATGAATATACTACTTTAAGATCATCTGCATATAGAAGGGGCTTACTCACACAACAACTTTCACAAATATCATTGATAAACATTAAAAAGAGCAGAGGGCCTAAGACACTACCTTGTATTACACCACTTGTAACAGAGACAGCGTTAGACAATGAAGAGTTAATTTTAACTATTTGATGTCGATCGTTGAGAAAGGAATCAAACCAAGCTAGCGAACGATTTTGAACCCCATAGGATGAGAGTTTACCTATGAGGAGTTGGTGGCTAACCATGTCAAAGGCTTTAGAAATGTCCAGATATAGCACTAAGACTAGATATCCTTGGCTACGTAGAAAATAGACTAAATTAAAGAAGTCAAAATGGCATGTCATACAAGATCGATTTTTAAGAAATCCATGTTGAGTATCATTGATAAATTGTTTTTCCCAGCAAGCAAATAGTTGGAAAGTTCATCACTTATAATTTTTTCCATAATCCTAGAGATAACTGGAGTAATATTTGTGGGCCGATAATTGTTCATGTCAGCCTTATCTCCAGAATTGTAACGTGGTATGATGTACGCAGTCTTCCAACAGTGAGGGTAAGAACCAGTTTCCATAGAGGGAGTAAACAGCTTTAGAAGAAGAAGAAGTGGAATGTTCTGGACTACCATATTTGTAGAGAAAGGATGAAATCTCGTCTGCTCAATGATCTCTCGAAAGCTTAAGGGTATTCATAGTGTTATTAATTTTCATGCATGTGGACGAGATAGATTTAATTGAGTTGCTAGTCACGCATATAACTCTTGAAGAAGAGCCATTTATTATTTCTACATGATTCTCAAAAATACCACTGAAAATGCCTGCTATAGTTTTACAGTCGTATATAAAATTTCTGTTATGCTAGACGCATGGTATATCAAAATTTTGAGTTGATTTAGCGCGTTTATTGAAAACGAGAATTAAGTTTTAAGCAATAACTGATGTTCACTAGTGCCATTCATATTAAAAAAACAGTAAATGTAATAAAAAAAATCGAATAATAAGGATGACTTATTCATTTATTTTGATTGTTTGATTCTTCCCATCCACGATACCGCTCGCGGGTTTCGGTCCGTGACCAGTGAAGCTAATCCTTGTTGGGTAAATATAGGCATCTACA